GTCCACAAGGGGACTGCTGGTTAATTCATGGGTGTGTAAACTTTGTGTATTTCTCTGCATATTATGTAATGAATATTTATTTTTTAATTGATACCTGGACTCTACCCCCAGGGATTTTGATTTAACTCATCTGGAGAGGGTCTGAGGCAGCAGTGTTTTTTTTTTTTAATCCCCTCCAAATGATTATAATGTATAGCCAGGGTGTATAACCACTGTATAATAATATTTTATTAAAAGGACACCTTACGGTCACTATGGAAAATTTTAAAACTAAGGAAATGTGTAATGAAAAGAAAAAAAATCACTTAAAATACACTCCCAGAGATACTTTTTCCTAATACTCCTACCTATTTTGTCCAGTGACCAGATTTTAAATAATGTATACAAGGTCCCTCCCTTTTATCATCTGGCTTCTGCCTGGTTCCCACTATAGGCATTTGAGGAAAGAAAGATGATGAGACATCATTTTCCTGTAGCTTTGGGAAATTTAGGAAGTAATAGATGAAAGTTATTATTCTTGAAATTCAGATATACTTCTTGAAGAAGAATTCAGAAGCAAAGACTGCAGGTTAATTTTTGGTTCTAATCATTATGTATTCTCACATGGTCTGTTTGTTTTCATTTCTGGATTTCTTAAACCAGAACAAGACTTTTTAGGTACAGTTTACCATTTAAAATCAAAGGTCATCTGTTACACTGTCACAGCAGAAACTCACTCAGATAAGTTCATTGCCTGAATATATGCTTTATATGTTTTTTGGGATAGTCTTCCACAAAATCAGAACTATTTTATTTCTTATTAATTTATAATTCATGCTGTAATGGTAACAGCCTAGATGTTCATCAATAGGAGATTGGGTGAATAATTATGGTACCTACCCAGAATGGAATACTCTATAGCTTTTAAAATGATAAAGCTAGAATTATCTATGTTGCTATGGAAAGATATATAAGACCTGTTAAATGGGCAATATCAAACATGTTTATATCTTTTCCCATCTATGTGGAAATATGCATGCTGATAGCTGCCTAAGCCCTAAAAGATGTATTCCCACTGTTAGCAGTGATGATTTCTGTGCAGAGTTCTTGCTGGAGGAATTAGCTATTTTGCACTTTTTGTAAGGATTATATATTTTTTAGAAAAATATTACTATTTTAAGGGAAAGCAAAATAGTGACAGAGTGTAGAAAGAATGTCCCATTTTGTCCCCCCCCCCACTTTTTTTTCTAATATGTGTTCCTATCTTAAAAATATTTAAAATGTAGAGTTTGCTGGGTGCGGTGGCTCACACCTGTAATACTAGCACTTTAGGAGGCTGAGGTGGGTGGATCATGAGGTCAGGAGTTCGAGAGTAGCCTGGCCAACATGATGAAACCCTGTTTCTACTAAAGATACAAAAAATTAGCCAAATATGGTTGCACGTGTTTGTAATTCCAGCTACTCAGGAGGCTGAGGCAGGAGAATTGCTTGAACCCAGGAGGTGGAGGTTGCAGTGAGCAGAGATCATGCCACAGCACTCCAGTCTGGGCTACAAGAGTGAAGGCTCTGTCTTAAAAAAAAAAAATGTAGAGTTGGTCGAGCACAGTGGCTCACCCCTATAATCCCAACACTTTGGGAAGCCGAGGTGCGCAGATCACAAGATCAAGAGATCAAGACCATCCTGGCCAACATGGTGAAACCCCATCTCTACTAAAACCATAAAAAATTAGCTGGGTATGGTGCTGAGTGTCTGTAGTCCCAGCTACTCAGGAAGCTGAGGCAGGAGAATCACTTCAACCCGGGAGGCAGAGGTTGCAGTGAGCTGAGATCACGTCACTGCACTCCAGCCTGGTGACAGGGGGAGGGTGCAGTGGCTCATACCTGTAATCCCAGCACTTTGGAAGGCCAAAGCGGCGGATCACTTGAGGTCAGGAGTTTGAGACTAGCCTGGCCAACATGGTGAAACTCCGTCTCTACTAAAAATACAAAAATTAGCCAGGCATGGTGGCACATGACTGTAATCCCAGGTACTCAGGAGGCTGAGGCAGGAGAATTGCTTGAACCCGGGAGATATAGATTGCAGTCAGCCAAGATCGTGCCACTGTACTCCACCTAAGTGACAGAGTGAGACTCCATCTCAAAAAAAGAAAAAGAAAAAAGCCAGTTAAAATATACTTCCAGGTATACCTGCTTTTAATACTCCTCCTCTCAGCTTGTGAAGTCATCAGTTGTTTAACAATGTATTTTTGTTTCGATGGTTCTGTGTTTCTGTACTGTCTTGCTAAAGTTTTGGTTCTCCAAGTATTTTTGAGCTGTGATTCATCCTCAACCTGGGTGATAGGTTAATGGAAGACTACCTTGAAGTTTACCATGAAGCCTTCTCTAATTGATGGCTTCAGATTCTTCCAGGGCTTTTAAAGGTTCTGTGTACTGTTGTGATGGAAGGCCCATGTCATGGGTGATAGACATAAGGATTATTAAAACATGTTCTAAAATATATCAAAGACAAGTTTAAGTGATAGTTACAGAAGTCCTGGATAACCTTTATGAATTTGTTTGTATTAGTTTTGGTCATGGTGCCCAACAACTAGTCATAAGTATCTCATAAATATTTGCCAAATAGGGAAAATGAGAACAAAAGGGAAAAACTGAAGATATAGATGAGAAAAGGCAGGATAGTAAGTGAACTGAGTGCTGTGAACAGTGAAAGGATAGAAATCTGATTAATTTGTGGGAAAACATACTGATACTGCCAAAACAGGTGGAAATTTTTAAGACTTGGAGGATGCATGATGGATGGAACCAAAATTGAAGAGCAATACATGAAACATTTTTCGTGTCATTTACTGAAATCTATGTAGTTTGATGTATAATTTGCTTTTCCAATGAAATAATCATGATGATGGGAAGGCCTGGAAAATATAAACATGCTTTTCTTGTTTCTCTTTAAAAAGAAAACATACACAAACTTCCCATACTTTCCAGACTTCCCTACCCAGATTCTATCGGCCACTCTTTAATATTTTAACCTCTGTTCCATCTAGAGGTTGGTCCCTGTACAATGCAAAATGGCTTTCTGGTTCCATAAACAGGAATTATACTATCCTCATTTGTCATTGCTACAGCTATTAAAATTTTCTCCAGAGTTTTAGAAATGAAACTGTAATCATAAATACTCTTTTGTTCTATCATCTTTTTTAAAATAAACATTAAGTTATGAAGGTAATATAGCATCATGGAGCTTAGGGAAAATATATAGAGGTTTACATTATTCTAGTCTTAGCACTATCTGTGTCTTCTTTTTGGCTGTCCTCCCACAGGCTACTCATTCTTGATTTTTTTGGTTCTGTTTTGTTTTAAATCATCCAGTGAAGCATTTGTATTTAAAAAAAAAAAAAGTGTTGAAAATTGACCTTCTTTTGCCAGAGACTGACTGAAGATTAAAAAAAAATTAATAAAAATAAAGAAAATTGACCTTCTTGGGACATGGTACATAAGAATGTGCTATTAAGGTTTTCAGTAGGGCCAGGCGCGGTGGCTCAAGCTTGTAATCCCAGCACTTTGGGAGGCCGAGGCGGGTGGATCACGAGGTCGAGAGATCGAGACCATCCTGGTCAACATGGTGAAACCCCGTCTCTACTAAAAATACAAAAAATTAGCTGGGCATGGTGGCACGTGCCTGTAATCCCAGCTACTCAGGAGGCTGAGGCAGGAGAATTGCCTGAACCCAGGAGGCGGAGGTTGCGGTGAGCCGAGATCGCACCATTGCACTCCAGCCTGGGTAACAAGAGCGAAACTCCGTCTCAAAAAAAAAAAAAAAAATTTTTTTTTCAGTATCTGAAATGTTTTCTTTTACCATCCACTGACTCTAATTTTCTTCTAAAATAAAACATGACAATTCCACTATGGGACTTGGGTGAATCTAATCTTCTAAAATAAAACATGACAGTTCCACTATGGGACTCAGGTGAACTGTAATCTTTTTTTTCATCAACTCCTTTTCATCTATATTTAATCTAAATCTTTTGTTTTTAGAATTGAATCTGCAAGACTGCTTATGCGAAGCTTGGGATCTCTTTTGCTCTTCATGCAGAGAGATACTGACTGTAGGTGGGTGGTGAGGTAGGAATCCAGGACTACACAGGATATGAGCAACCTAATTAAAGGATTATTTGAGAGTTAGATTGGAAAAACACAGAGCTGGTGTGCAGCAGGGAGAAACAAACTACAGAGAAATGGGGACAGAGTCAGTGAGTCGCAGACCATGGAGGCAGATGGACAGATGGGACAGGCCTGGAGGATGTGTTGAAAAACTGTTCTTGTTGTAACCTATCTTTTTTATGGACTCTGAGCTTGATCCTTAAGCAAACTAAAAGCTCCCTTTTACAGAATGCCTATGGTTCACAATCGTATGTGCAGTGCCTGGTGTGGACACTCAACAGACATTTTTGTCAGTATTGATGGCTCCTTCCTTTGGAATCTCAGTTAGACAGATGAGGAAATAGAGGCTTAAGGGGATTTAAGTAACTTGCCTAAAATCAAACAGCTGGGAAATGCTGGTATTAAATTGCAGCCACCTGTGTCTCTTCAGGCTGTGCAACTTCAGAACTCACCAGACAATGTGGTTCTTTAACATCAGCACATCCATGATTGTTAGTAGCCTCACAGGGTTGTCGTCCTTAAATTCAGGTACTCTTTGGAAGATCATTGTTATTGCTGCCACCAGAGGGGAAGTTCTGCGCTCTGGGAGCCTGTCTTCAGCACTTTAAGAATTGTTTGTGTCTTTTGAAGCACCTCTTGCATTTTATTTCTGAGCTCTACCATTTACTGGCGGGATGACTCTGGATGGGCTGCTTCACTTTTTAAGCTACATTGTCTTTAGCAGTTGAAATAGGAGCAATAACTGTATTTACCTCAAAGAGCTTTTCTGAGAATTAAATTCCACATTTGTTTATGAATGTGATTTCTGCAAATTGATATCAGAGTACAAGTGTTGTAATGAAAAGTTTATCTCGTTGTAGGTCTTATTGAATTTTCTGTGGGGAAATTTAGAATCTTCGAGCTCAATAGGCCCTTTCCAGAGGAGGCTATTTTACATGATATTTCAAACAATGTGACTTTTCTTATTTTCCAAATACACTCACAGTATCAGAATACAACTGTTTCCTTTTCTCCGGTGAGTACAAATAATTATTTTATTAAAATCATTTCTATATTTTGGGATCTGGTATTTAGTATGAACATTAGAATTCAGTATCTCTTTCTCTTTTATGTTTATGACCTATGTCTTAAATTAAAAAAAAAATCAAGATATATCTTTTCAAGTTAGTGATTATCTCAGGCTTTTCTTGAGTGTGGCAGTCTCTGACTTAAAAAGGGGATAATAGAGAGCTGAGCTGGGGGAAAGGGGACCCTGTTCCAATGTTACTGCGATGCAGGTAAGTTTTCCTCTTGATTTCCCACCTTTTCATTTTCTTACTTTAGTGGGGCCTTAATAATTTTTACCTGAGAATACATGTCTTAGTGGGTTTTCACTGTTGTTTAGCTTTTTAGTTTTGAACTTTACTAAGAACCCTATAGTATCAACTTTATTCTTTGAACTCTCTCATGCAAACAACAAAAAAGTTACAGTGCTCAGTTCATTCAGCCCTGTGCTATGCCTCCAGCAGTGTTAAGGACTCTATTATAGATGTTATCACTAACCTTCTTAACCTCAACCTCAGCCTTAGAAAGTTTGTTAAATTCCCTGGGTTAGCTTAAGCTATGAAGGACTGCCATTTACGTAATATTTTACAAATCTATTTATATTTAGTCTCTATGATACCTTAGACCAAATCATGAATTTCATCTTGCATAAAGTTATACTTCTTTTTATTTGTACTAAGCCTATCTTATAATATTCTGGAATTTGGTAAACAAATCTGTCTTAATCCAATTCATATGTAATTTTTTTTTTTTTTTTTTTTTTTTTTTTTTTGAGACTGAGTTTTGCTCTCATTACCCAGGCTGGAGTGCAATGGCGCGATCTCGGCTCACCGCAACCTCCGCCTCCTGGGTTCAGGCAATTCTCCTGCCTCAGCCTCCTGAGTAGCTGGGATTACAGGCACGCGCCACCATGCCCAGCTAATTTTTTGTATTTTTAGTAGAGACGGGGTTTCACCATATTGACCAGGATGGTCTCGATCTCTTGACCTTGTGATCCACCCGTCTTGGCCTCCCAAAGTGCTGGGATTACAGGCTTGAGCCACCGCGCCCGGCCCATATGTAATTTTTAAAAATTTTATTTTATTTTATTTTGAGAAGAGTTTCATTCTTGTTGCTCAGGCTAGAGTGCAATGGCGTGATCTCAGCTCACTGCAATCTCCGCCTCCCGGGTTCAAGCAATTCTCCTGTCTCAGCCTCCTGAGTAGCTGGGATTACAGGTGCCTGCCACTATGCCCACCTAATTTTTGGTATTTTTTAGGTAGAGATGGGGTTTCACCATGTTGGTCAGGCTGGTCTCGAAATCCTGACCTCAGGCGATCCGCCCACCTCACCCTCCCAAAGTGCTGGAGTTACTGGCATGAGCCACTGCACTTGGCCTATTTTAATTTTTTTTAGAGATAGGATCTTACTCCATCATCCAGGCTGGAATGCAGTGATGTGATCATGGTTCACAGTAGCCTCAAACTCCTGGCCTTAAGTGATCCTGGGACTACGGGCACATGTCACCACACTCAGCTAATTTTTAACTTTTTTTTTTTTTTTTTGTAGATACAGGATTTTGCTATGTTGCCCAGGCTGGTCTTGAATTCCTGGCCTCAAGTGATCCTCCTGCCTGGGCGTCCCAAAGTGCTGGGATTACAGGCATGAGCCACTGTGCTCTAGCCCACATATAATATTATAGGCATTGGTTACTCTATCTTTCTTACTATTTTGTATTTTTTTATTCCTGCCTTTTGCCCCTACCATAGAGGTGTTGAAATTGTGTGCATATGGTTGTGCATGAGTGTTGCAGGGGTATGTAGTTAATAGACTAGAAATGGAAGAGTTCAGCTGAGGAAAAAGAGAAAGGAATAAATAGTATTAATTGCAAGAGATACCAATGTCAGTCATATGTCGAACTTGCCCAAGTTTGTTGCAGCTAGAGCAGAAGGTAAAGCATGTTAAATTTCATAACTTCCTTAGAAAGGAAGGAGTATGCCAATTCCTCAGGGGAGGCCAAGTTTTTTATGGCACTGAATTCAAAAGACAACTTCCTATTCTGGTTCTTACATAGGAGACTTAGTAAAATGGCACATAGCTGAGTTCTTTCTTCTTCTTTTTTAGCTAGCTCTATTTAAAAAAATTTTTTAATTGACAATCAGTATGATTTTCTTCCTAATGACATTATAGCAAGACAACATTTGAAGGAAAAGAGAGAGGATGGGGAAAGTTAGCATTTATATTTGAACAGTGCCTACTATGTACTAGGTCAGTGGTTCTTAAGTTCCTGGAGCCATAGATTACTCAAGTCTGTGGACTCAAATATAAATATATAATTTCATGGGGCCCTTCAGAATCTCAGACCCTCAGGCCCCCAGTTAGGAACCCCTGTGTTTGGTTTTCCATGTAGTTAATTCTCACTAAAGCTCAACAAAGTAGTAGTGATGACTGTTTCTACATCCGAGGAAGCAGAGCTTGGATAAAGAGTTGCCAGCATCGCTAGTGACAAAACAGACCTGGATGGCAGCATCTTGGGCCTTGATTTCTATGCAGAAAGGGTCTTAGTTGTCCTTAATTATCATTTTATTTCTTGGACTGCCTTTAGTTCCCACTATTATATTACTTAGAAGACGATGGCCAGAACTGCACATGGCTTAGGAAGCAAGTGGCACTTCTGTTTCCGGTGCCTTTCCTGATAAAGTGTGGCACTTTTGTTTTTTTTGCGTCATGACAGCAGTTAGCTCTTTGAAACTGTTGACCTGATCATTTATCAATTAATATTTGAATCATTCTTTCTTGTGCTTATCAAATGGAAACTGATCTGCTACCTTTTCCTTACCATTTCCTTAGCTCTGATAGACCCTCTTGATCTGTTACCACTTAACTTAGCATTTTATTATTCAAAAAGCTTTCCAAGCAGATGGGAGTGGGGGATGGTATCGAGGAAGTGTTTGAGGAAGGATTAGGAAGGGGTACAAGGAAACCTTCTGGCGGGATGCATACATTTACTATTTTGATTGTGGTAATGGTTTCACAGGTGTCTATGTATATCAATACTTAAAAGCAGTTTATAGTATGTCAGTTATAACACTTACATAAAAGAGATTTCAAAAACTGAACTCCTTGGAGCCAGGGCTGATGTTTTTGTCTTAGTGGTCTCAGACACTAAGAACACATTACTTGATGTAGTAAATCTTAATTCAAGTTAATTGAAACACGAGAATTTCACTGTGCATCTGCTATTCCTGATCATAGATTATTTTTGCAGACAGAATGTTTGTGTCTTCACAACCTTCTCAGTTGAAATCCTCACCCCCAATGTGTTATATTAGGAAGTGGCATCTTTGGGAAGTGATTAGGTCATGGACCCCCATTTAGAACCCTCATGAATGGGATTAGTGGTCTTATAAAAGGGACCCCAGAGATGTTTCTTGCCCTTCCTCTGCCATGTGAGGATACAACAAGAAGTTGGGTGTTTTCAATCTATAACAGGGCCCTCATCAGAACCTGACTGTGTTGGCACCTTGATCCCGAACCACCAGCCTCTTGAACTGTGAAAATAAATTTCTGTTGTTTATAAGCATCTAAACCCGTGGTACTTTGTTATAGTAGTCTTAACTAAGACAATCATATTTTTCAGAAATGGTTTCTCCATGTGTATGTGTGGGCATGTGAACATAGAGATGAAAAAAATTTACTGGTTATTTAAGGAAGGTTTTTTTTTTTGTTGTTGTTGTTTTTCTATTGGTTTTGAAAAGATTTGGAATAGGACATATGCACTGGATCAACTCGGTAATTTATATATTTTGCTCGACTTCCTGTTCATGACGGTGCTTCTTCTTGACTGCAGACTCTCCTTCCTAATGCCTCAGAAACAGGCACTGACAGTGGACTGGTTTTCATCCTTAGACCAGAGCAGAGTACATGCACTTGGTACTTGGAGACTTCAGACACAGAACCTGTCCAGAATATGGCTATCCTCCTCTCCTACTCAGAAAGAGGTAACCCTTCTGTCTTTTCCTCCCTCTTACTCTTTGGAATATGGGATATGTTCATGAAACTTTAAGGAAAATTATTCTATTAAGATTGTTTGTTGCAATTATAATTTATATAATCAGAAATATAGTAAAAAGCCAGAGAGTTAGCATTATGACTGAAAGCTCAGGTAGTGACTAGGAGAACACATTTATTCATTCAAAAAACATTTAGGGAGCCCTTGGAGAAGCAGTAATAGTAAGGCAAGACATAGTCCTTACCAGTTTAGTTATTCTAAGCAGAAGCAGTAAGCTACGTGTCATGAAGAAGAATGATTTGGACAATGGCACGTTGTGGGTGTGGCAGCAGCTGGATGTGGAGGGCCTTGCATGCAATTTGAGGTTTGTGTTTTATTTCAAGGTAGGTTCTAAGGAGGCATAGAGTTTTAAGCAGAGGAATGGTGTTGACCATTTCATCTCTTAGAAAGCCAACTCTAGAAGCAGTGTGCGGATGGATAGGAGAAGGCATATCAGAGTCAGGACCCAGCACAAAGTGAGAAATGAGGATCTGAACAGAGGCTGTGAGAGGCAGGATGGAGGAGAGGAGCTGGATTTGAGATATCCAGAAGGTAGAATTGATACAACACAATGCCTGGTGGTTATGGATTATAAGAGGAAAGCATAGGTTTCCTGTTTGGGCAGCAGGGAAATAGTGATACAAAATAGGTATAGGAACAGGGTTGTTGTGTTGCTGGATGTTTTGGGAGGTGGGATGGAGTAGATGGTGATTTCAGTTTGGGACGCAATCTGAGATGCTTGTAGGACATTTGGATGGAAATGCACAGTAGGTAATTTAGATAAGGGCGTGGAGTGAAGGGGTGATTTTAGATTCTCAACTAAATAGCTGTTAAAGCTGTGGCAGTGAGTGGCAAATGATAACTGTTGAGGAATAAGCACAAGACTGGGGAGTATTCAGGAAAGTCGGAAGAGAGCCTGGAGGTTCTGCCTTAAAAAGGGAGCAGGCCAGACCCGGTGGCTCACACCTGTAATCCTTGCACTTTGGGAGGCCGAAGTGGACGGATGACCTGAAATCAGGAGTTTAAGACTGGCCTGGCCAACATGACGAAACCCCTTTTCTACTAAAAATACAAAAATTAGCCATATGTGGTGGCGGGTGCCTATAATCCCAGCTACTCAGGAGGCTGAGGCAGGAGAATCACTTGAACCTGGGGGACAGAGGTTGCAGTGAGCTGAGATTGTAACACTTCACTCCAGCTTGGGTGACAGAGAGAGATTCCATCTCAAAAAAAAAAAAAGGAAATGGTAAGTCATACTCTACAGAGAGGTCAAGATAACTGACTGAAGGTGTCCATATGCTAGAGCAAGTACAAGTCAGTGGTGACCCTTTGTAAGAGTCACTTTAGTGCCACAACAGGGATGGACACTAGATTACAGTGATGGAGAAGTGAATGTGAGATGAAGAAATTTAGACTACACTTAAAGCTTGGGAGTAAAGGCAAGGAGAGGGAGCACTAGTTAGGAAAGGAGGTAGAATCCAAAAGGTTACTGGAGTAGACAATAGGAAATGTTATCTGCAACAAAAGGCTAATTACCTGATAAGAAACCTTAGACTTAATTAAGGCTTGCATCAAGGACAGTGTACAGAGAAAAATTCTGAACAGTGGAGCTTCAGCTGGCATACATACCATTTTCTCTGGTGTGGTAAAGATGCATAAATGCAGAAAAAGGAGAGTATGAAAGAAGAGCGTGGAATTTAGAGGAAGATTCCAACATGATATTGATACATATATACACACTGTATATCTGCATTCCAAACCTGGCCAGAAGTAGTCAACCAATAGCTGATCTTTTTAACTCTAGAGGAGAGTTTGACAGACTACAGACCAAGAGCCTGGACTACAGACCAGACTACAGAACCAATTTGCTGCCTGTTTTTGTACATAAAGTTTTATTGAAACACAGCTATGCCTCTTCCTGTACGTATTGCCTGTGGCTGCTTTCTTGCCACAAAGACAGGGGTGGGTAGTTACTGCAGAGACCATCAGACTGACAAAGTCTAAAATACCATCAGGCCTTTTACAGAAAATGTTTGCTGTGCCCTGCTCTAGGGACCTGAACCTTAGTTAACTTTACCTTCTTTAACCTTAGTTCATGAAATAGTGTAAGACTAGAAGCTCTGTGTTTATATTTAACTTCTATTTGGGAAGTTCTTCTAAGAGTAGAGTTCTGTTTTTCTGAGTATGATTTGGATATGTAAGAATTGTTTGTTTAGTAACTTCCCTATTTTTCATCCAGATCCTATCCCTGGAGGCTGTAATTTGGAGTTTGATTTAGATATCGATCCCAACATTTACTTGGAGTATAATTTCTTTGAAACGACTATCAAGTTTGCCCCAGCAAACCTAGGCTACGCGAGGTATGTCTGTCTACCACCTCTGAGAAATGCCTTTAGAACACACATGATGTCAAGTTGTGTAGATTTGACCAGCTTTCTCAAGTCCCTAGTTCTCTGCAGTAAAATTGAATTCTTTAATTTTGGGGTGGAGGGGGGAGGAAATTGATGTAATTTAAACTTCATTATTAATATTTGGGCTGTCATTTACAGTTAATATTTTCCCCACTTCATTCTTGTGAACTCTTTTTATTTCAAGAGTCAGATGTGAATCTGCTATGAGCTTAGAAGTACATCCTGGTTTTTATAAAGCACTTTAAATATAGATAGCACTCAGTAGCCCTGAAACATCCTTATATTATAATAAAGATTCATTGTTTTAATTAAAGTTGTACTTCAGTTTCTGCTTTAACAGTAATGATAGCTAACATTTGAGCACACTTGAATGCTTCCTGTGCATTGTCCATGGTGCTGAGTGTCGTTATGTTCTTTGTTATCTAATCCTAACAATTTTATGAAGAAAGGCTATTGTTATTATTTTATAGAAAGGTTCCCTAGCAGTTATTGAAGTTAAGTGACTTGCTAACAAATGACACAGCTGCTATATTATTTTTTTTAAATCGAAGTTGAGGTCTTTCTGTGTTGCCCTGACTGGTCTTGAACTTCTTAGCTCAAGCAATCCTCCTGCCTCAGCCTCCCAAAGTGCTGGGATTATAGCCATAAGCCACTGCACCCAGCTTTTTAATTTTTTTTATGTTTTTTTTCTCCCCAAAGCTGTAGTATTACTCTAGGCCTGACTGATACAGAATCCAGTTATTGAACAACCCTTGCCTGTTGGTGTTAGTCTTAGTTTGTGGTGCTGCAACAAAGTAGCACAGACTGGGTGGCTTATAAACTTCTTTCTTACAGTTCTAGAGTATAGAAGTCCATAATAAGGGTGCCAGGACAGTTGAGTTCCAGTGAAGTTTCTCTTCCTGGTTACAGACTGCTGGGTTCTCATTGTGTTCACACATGACAGAGAGAAGGCTAGAGGGCTCTCTGGGATCTCCTTTATAAGGGCAGTAATTCTATTCATGAGGGCTTCACCTTGATGACCTAATTACCTCCCAAAGGCTCCAACTCCTAATATCATCACATTGGGAGTGAGGGTCTCACCATATTAATTTTGGAGAGAAACAAACATTCAGTCCATAACAGTGTGTTATTTTTCTTCAGAATACTAATTATTGCCACTGCAAACGGTGAACTCTTAAATTTTAATTATTGTTGCAAGTCTTTGAAATTAGGGCTCTTGGTTCCTTTTTATAGATGGGATTTCCACCACAAGAGACTGACGTTTAATTTTGTTGGTTGACTTTAGAGGTGCAGATCCCCCATCATGTGATGCTGGGACAGACCAGGACTCCAGGTGGAGGTTGCAGTATGATGTCTATCAGTATTTTCTGCCTGAGAATGACCTCACTGAGGACATGGTGCTGATGCATCTGCAGAGGATGGTCACGGTGCCCCAAGTGAAGGCCAGTGCTCTCAAGGTAAATCTGAGTCCCATGATTTGTGTGGCCGGATTGTGATATTTTTATAAGAGTTGAGAAGGGGAGAAGCTACCAGGATCTTACTTCTTCCCTGTTTTCTCCATTTTTTAGGGACACTCACTTTATTCTCTTTTATTTTGTTATCATCTTGGAAGTTTTTGCTGGTGATATCTCAAAATGATGTTGGCCTTTGAGAAGATGCATGTAAATTATGTTAAATTTTAGTTTAGCCACATCTGTGTGACTTGGTAATCTGAAATGTGAATGGAAGGAGGTGGTAATTTTCTATGTACTCCCTCAACTATTGGGTAAACATTTTTGACAAGTATGAAGGTTACAGTGTTTTGAGAAAATAATAATGAGAAACTGCTTAAGGATATACAGTTTGGCATTAATATTTCAACCCAAACTCAAAGTCTCTAATTTTGGAGTAAAAATCTTCTCTGAGTTTTTTTTTTTTGGGACGGAGTTTTGCTCTTGTTACCCAGGCTGGAGTGCAATGGTGCGATCTCTGCTCACCGCAACCTCCGCCTCCTGGTTTCAGGCAATTCTCCTGCCTCAGTCTCGTGAGTAGCTGGGATTACAGGCATGTGCCACCATGCCCAGCTAATTTTTTTTTCTTTTTTTTTTTTTTTTTAGTAGAGACAGGGTTTCACCATGTTGACCAGGATGGTCTTGATCTCTTGACCTTGTGATCCACCCGCCTCGGCCTCCCAAAGTGTTCTCTGAGCTTTTGAATACCCTTGCTCCCCAGGTGTGGACCATGGATCAGTGGCATTGGCATCAATGGGGAGTTTCTGAGAATTGTAATTCTTAGGCTCCACCCTAGAACTACTGAATCTAAATTTGCATTTTATAAGCACCCTCAGGTGATTCTGGCCGGGCAAGGTGGATCATCCCTGTAATCCCAGCACTTTGGGAGGCCAAGGCACGTGGATCATCTGCGGTCAGGAGTTTGAGACCAGTTTGTCCAACATGGTGAAACCCTGTCTCTACTTTTAAAAAATATAAAAATTAGCCAGGCGCGTTGGTGGATACCTGTAATCTTAGCTACTCAGGAGACTGAGGCAGGAGAATTGTTTGAACATGAGAGGTGGAGGTTGCAGTGAGCTGAGGTCGTACCATTCATTGCACTCCAGCCTGGGCGACAAGAGCAAAACTCCAACTCAAAAAGAAAAGAAAAGAAAACAAAAAAAAGATGAGTGACTCAGGTGATTCTTATGCATATTAAATTTTGAGATGTACTGCAATAGATTATTTTTGTGGAGGGGAGATTTTATCTTTATGTCTTGAAAAGTGCCTAACAGAAATATAATATATGATGTCATCCTTCAGTCTAATGTTTGATGGGTGGAATTTTGCTAGACAGCTTCATTGTGCTTATTCACAAAATAAGAAACTCTGTTAGTGAAGTTTGTTAGTTGCTTTATTAGATTTGTCATTTTGGTACTATTTTTATTTTTATGAAGATTATAAGAACTTATATAATAGGCTCTTTTTAGGTTACTTTTTAACTTTTAGTTAAAACAATATTTTGTCCCGGAATGTGGGGAAACCCTCAAAGACTAATAAGGGTATGTCAAAGAGATTCAGGAGCCTGTTTGAAGGGGCTTGCACTCCCAAATTTGGGACAATTCAAGAATCAAGAAAAAAAAAAGATTGTGATTTCAGCCTTGAATAAATAAAAATGAAACCTTCCTCAGTTGCTACCACTGGAGGACACTCTTACACCAAATTACTCTAAAAATTGATAAAGGAATTTAGCTTGCGTTTTTAAAGGAGGAACTAATTCTTCCCCAGTTTGAGAGAAAGCTCTTTGCAAAAGAGAGCCAGCTAATATATGTAGAAGGAATAATATAATTAGATGATCACCATTTTGTGGCCCTCAATGAAATAGTTCAAGCAAGGATCAGCAGGTGAAAGGTTTTTAGGGGACAGGATGTTTCCAGAGTGTCTAAGTAGCATCCTTAGATTCATTCTCATTGCAAAAGGAGAACCACTTTTAAATGGAATGGATTTATAGTCCACCTATTCCAAGTGGGCAAAGCTAATTGCACTGAAAATGGGTCAGCCTGTATTATGTGCTCATGTAATGGAGTCTGACATTATCATCATCACCTTGGAATATTCTAGCAAAAAATATCTAACCTGAATTCAGTCCATTGGATTTCCTATTTACAGGAAATATGGGTGATAAAAGAACAAGTTAGACACCTTGAGCACAATCTGACAAATCCAGATTGTAGAATATTTTGTGAGAATACTTACCTGACTTCATCCCTTCCACAGTCATTGGGTGGCTGGGAGAGAAAGGTGGGACAGACTGCTCTAGATTACTGAGATTGGCCATAAACGTCATACGTGGAACTTGGTTTGATCTTGAGTAAGAAGGTGAAAAGCTAAAAAAGGCATTAGGGGCCAGGCACAGTGGCCCACACCTGTAATCTCAGCACTTCGGGAGGCTGAGGTGGGCAGATCACTTGAGCTCAGAAGTTTGAGACCAGCCTGGGCAACATGGCAAAACCATATAGCCACTAAGAAAAAACAAAAATAGCTGGGCGTGGTGCTGCGTGCCTGTAGTCCCAGCTATTGAGGAAGCTGAGGTGGGAGGATCACTTGAGCCTGGGAGGCAGAGGTTTCAGTGAGTTGAGATCATGCCACTGCACTCCAGCCTGGGTGACAGAGTGAGACCCTGCCTCAAAAAGGAAAAAAAGACATTAGGGAAAATCTGGTTATGTATTAGCTAATAAGAAATTATTCATTTCAGGCCAGGTTTGGTGACTTACGCCTGTAGTCTCAGCACTTTGGGAGGCTGAGGCGGACAGATCACCTGAGGTTGGGAGTTCCAAACCAGCCTGATCAACATGGAGAAACCCTATCTCTACTAAAAATACAAAATTAGCTGAGTGTGGTGGCTCATGCTGTAATCCCAGCTACTCAGGAGGCTGAGGCAGGAGAATCGCTTGAACCTGGGAAGTGGAGGTTGCAGTGAGCTGAGGTCACGCCATTGCACTCCAGCCTGGGCAATAAGAGCAAAACTCCATCTCAAAAAATAAAAAATAAAATAAAGAAATTATTCAGTTTCTTAGGTGAGCTAAGGTATTGTGGTTATATAGGAGAATATTCTTATAAAGATGGTCCCTGACTTATGACATTTGACTTAGAATTTTTTTTTTAATTGTACTTTGGGCTCTGGGGTACATGTGTACTCCTCATTCTGCAGGATTGTTGCATGGGCACATACACCCACCCCACACACCCGTCACCTACATCAGGCATTTCTCCCGGTGTTTTTTATTTTATGATGGTGAGAAAGTAATAAGCATTCAGTAGAAACCATACTTCCAATTTGAGTTTTTAGTTTTGGTAATTTCCTGGGCTAGCAACATACAGTATGATACTCTTGCCATGCTGAGCAGTGGCAATGAACCATAGCTCCCACTTGACCACACAGGTAAACAGCTAATAAATTACATAAGCAACTAAACACTTTATTATAGCATAGTCTTTGTGTTAGATGATTTTCTTCAACTGAGTCCAATGTAAGTGTTCTGAGCACATTTAAGGTAGGCTAGGCTAAAGCCATGATGGTCGGTGGGCAAGGTATATTAAATGCATTTTTGACTTACATTGGGTTTATTCTGATGTAACCCCTCCCTTGTAAGTCTGTACTTAGACTTACGTCTATACTGAGTACCTTGTTACTCAGAGTGTGGTAGGTGGTTGCATGGCATTGGCATCATCTGAGAGCTTGCTAGAAAAACAGAACTGCTGGTACCACACTGACCTAAGAATCAGAATCTGCATTTTAACAAGACTGTCCCCTGTGATTCACAAGCACATGAAATTTGAGAAACAGTGTGGTAGGATATGCACAGCAATATGTTTAGAAGTGAAATGTCATGGTATCTGTAACTTACTTTCCACGGGAAGAAAGTAGAGATGGGGAGAAAGGGGTGATAGGGAAGCAAACGTGGTAAAATCTTAACGATTGTTGATAATAGGCAGTATATAGTCTGTTGGCATATTCATTCAACTTTTCTGTCTGGTTTAAATTTTTTCATGACAGCTTGGTGGTAATATTAACAGTTTATTAAACTTGACTAGACTTTTGCCCAAAAACAAGTTTTTGAAGGCTAAGCAGTATATTTAAACAATGATAGTCTGATGTAGGAGGCCTCAGAATTATTTACTCCTGAAACCCTAATATTTATTTTTCTCAAATTAGTAGGAACATATCTATGTATTATGGTTATATAAAGCATTTGTTTCTTCTAGCTTATAGTTTACAATGGAATTTCTGAAGTTAAGAACTACTGCGTAGCAAAACCTTATACAATATTTTCTTGTTTCAGAGACTGCTAGACAAAAATAAGTGGCTACTACCTGTGAAACATTAACAGACTGTCTACATTAGTTTGTGGCTAATGTTGAACACATCCTTTGTATAGGCATTGGGCTGTGTACTGAGGAAAGAGCAGTGCAGAAGAGAAATACAGTTCCCATCCTTGCTTATAGTCTAGTAGAGAAGAAAAAACTTTTTACTTTGTCCTAACTAGCATTTATGCATTATTTATTTCACATTTTCCTTAAACTATTAAAAAAAAACTTTGGAAGAATTTTGTGTAAGAGCTTGTTTACATTAGCATATACAAACCATGTAAGATGGCCCTTTGACCATATTAAATGGGTTGGTGTATATTTTAAACAATAATTATAATTTATAAATATACCATTTAATATTACACATAGGTGGGGTTATCATAGAATAGCTTTAAAAAATTACCTAAACACTAATGATATATTATTTTTGGCTTCAGGTGGTTACCTTAACAGCTAATGATAAGACAAGCATTTCCTTCTCCTCCCTCCCGGGACAAGGTGTCATATACAATGTCATTGTTTGGGATCCATTTCTAAATACATCTGCTGCGTATGTTCCTGTTCACACATATGCTTGCAGCTTTGAGGCAGGAGAGGATAGTTGTGCTTCCCTAGGTGAGTACATGGATTTAAACTTTTACAAATTCTTCTTTGGCCTTGTAGATTTATATTACTAAAGTAGAATTTAAGAATATTCAAAAATGTTTTTGTTGAGTTCTCATTCATTCGTTTAACACATACCTTTTGAGCCCCTACGCAATTCCACTCTCCGTTCTGGGCACTAGGACACAGTAGTAAACAAAACAGCAAAAATACTTGTCCTCCTTCAGCTTATATTATAGTGAGGGAGACAAGACAGATAAATTTATAAAATATGTAATACATGAGAAAATGGTGAGTGCTAAGAAGATAAAGTAGGAAAGGGAGATAACATGCACCAGTAAGAGGAAAATTCAACATAGTTAGCATGGCCAGGGCAGCCGTTGCTGTGCCACACACGTACCTGGATGTGGTGTGTACCAGGCAGCTGGAGCAGCCAGGACGAGGGCCTGTACCTGGTAGCCTGCCTGAGGGTGTGAAGAACTGCAGCGAGGACAGGGGTGGAGGAGAACGAGGAGGGCAAGAGGAGTAGAGGTGAGACGAGAGGTGTGGGGGCAGACAGCTCACTTGTGGCCTTGTAGGTCTTAGTATGGGGGTTAGCTTCTATTCTGAACGAAAGGGAAAGACATTGGAAGGTTTTGAGCAAATGGAGCCATGATCTGATATCTTAATGGGATCACTGGCTGCTTTTTGAGAAGAGATGGGGGCAAGAGCAGGAATACAGATTGGTTAGGAGGCCACTGAAGTAATCCAGGGGAGAGAGAACAGTGGGTTAGGTAGACTGGGGACAGTGAAGGTGTTGTGAGGTATGTATGTGTATATGTAGGTGTAGTTAGCAGTTTATCTTGAAATAGTTTCTCAGAAGATATGCAAAAATAGTATAAAGAATTTCTGTATAATCTTCATCCAGATTTCTTAAAGGTTGATATATTAGGCTATTTGCTTTTCATTTTCTCTTCTCTCTTTCTATGTACGATTAACCTTTAACAGTGTAGGGGTTGAGGGAGCTGACTCCCGTGCAGTTCAAAATCTGTATAACTTTTTTTTCTTTCTTTCTGAGACAGGGTTTCACTCCTGTTGCCCAGTCTGGAGTGCAGTGATGTGCTCCCGGCTCACTGCAACCTTCGCCTCCCAGGTTCAAGCAGTTCTCCTGCCTCACTCTCCAGAGTAGCTGGGATTAATGGACACACACCACCCTCCCCAGCTAATTTTTGTATTTTTAGTAGAGATGGGATTTCACCATGTTGGCCAGGCTGGTCTTAAACTCCTGGCCTCAAGTGATCCACCTGCTTTGGCCTCCCAAAATTCTGGGGTTACAGGCATGAACCACCATATCTAGCCCGTGTATAACTTTTGACTTTCCAAAAACTTAACTATTGTTAGCCTAGTGTTGACCAGAGAAGCCTTACTGATAACATAAATACTTGATTAACACATATTTTGTATGTTATATTTATCATAGACTATAGTCTTACAACAAAATGAGCTAGAGAAAAGTAAATGTTATTAAGGAAACTATAAGGAAGAGAAAATATATTTACTATTTATTAAGTGGGAAAGGATCATCATAAAGGCCTTCATCTTCATCATTTTCATGTTGAATAGTAAGAGGAGGAGGAAGAGGAAGAGTTGGTGTTGCTGTTTCAGGGGTGGCAGAAGTGGGAGGGGAGTCAGGAAAGGCAGGCACACTCAGTGTGACTTACTGAAAAAAAGTCTGTTTGTGACTGGGCGTGGTGGCTCACACCTGTAATCCCAGCACTTTGGGAGGGCAAGGCTGGCAGATCACAAGGTCAGGAGTTCAAGACCAACCTGACCAATATGGGGTAGCCACATATCTACTAAAAATACAAAAAATTAGCTGAGTGTGGTGATGCATGCCTGTAATCCCAGCTACTCAGAAGGTGGAAAGAGGAGAATCATTTGAACCTGGGAGGCGGAGGTTGCAGTGAGCTGAGATCGTGCCACTGCACTCCAGCCTGGGCAATAGAGCAAGGCTCTGTCTCAAAAGAAAAAAAAAAATTCTGTATGTAAGTGGACCCATGCAGTTCAAACCCATGTTGTTCAGGGGCCAACTGTGTATATAGATATGTACACACACACACACACAGCTTTTCTCAGAACCATTTGAGAGTAAGCTGCAGGCATAAAGACCTTTTTGTCCTTAAATACTTGTGTTTATTTTCTTACATAACCATAGTAAAATTACCAAAATTACAAAGTTAACATTGATACCGTAGTTATTTAATTCACGCATGTTATCACATTTACTAGTTGTTCCAATAATGTCCTTTATAAGTAAAAAAAAGTATTTTTTCACTGGGTGCAGTGATGCATGCCTATAATCCCAGCACGTTGGGAGGTCAAGGTGAGTGGATTGCTTGAACTCTGGAGTTCAGGATCAGCCTGGGCAACATGGCAAAACTCCATCTCTACAAAAAATACAAAAATTAGCTGGTGTGGTGGCATATGCCTTTGGTTCCAGCAACTTGGCAGTCTAAGGTGGGAAGATCACCTGAGCCCAGGAAGGTCAAGGCTGCAGTGAGCTGTGATTGTACTCCTGCACTCCAGCCTGGGCGACAGAGTGAGACCCTGTCTCCCTGTCAACAAATTTTTTTTTTTTTTTGCCCTGTCCAGGGTTCAATTTAGGATCCCACATTGAATTCAACTGATGTTTCTCTTTAGAGTGCTATAATTTGGAGCAAGTCTTTTTTTGTTTAATTTTAATCTTTTAAGACCTTGACCTTTTTGAGAAGTACAGAATATTTATTTACTTTTTTAGAATGTCCTCAATTTGGGTTAGTTTGATATTTCCTCATACTTAAATTTTGATTATGCTTTTTTGGCAGAAATACAAAGGAAGTGATGTGTCCTTCTCAGTAGACAATTAATATTTGTCTCTTTACTGATGGTAACACCCTTGATTAAGTTGGTTAGTGGTGTCTTGTCAAGTTTTTCCACAGTGACGTAACTGTTTCCTCCTTTGAGTATCTTTAGGGGAGATACTTTGAGCTTCAGTAAATATCCCATTCTCAAACTCTCACTTGCTAGTTTTGGCATCCAGTGATCTTTGCCTGAAACATTTATTACTAGGTGGTTGCCAAATGGTGTTTTTCTAATGTATCGCTCCTTCTATGTTTATTTGTTGCCATTCTACTCTAAGGAAGAGTTTTCCCTCCCCTCTTATTTGTTTGTCCATGTATTTACATAAGCCTGGACCTGTAGATTCCTATTTTATTCTCTGGATGAAATCTGTTACCATCATTTGTTTTGTGATCAAATTGTCCCAGGTTTGGCTCATGAGTGGCTGGATATATTTTGGAGTAGTGTGCCGATGGATTGCATTCTTACTGAAGGGGTTTGGGAGAAAAAAGTGAAAAGGACTGTAGTTTTGGCAACTGGAGAGAGAGAATGACCATTCGCAGAGGTGGGAAGGACTGTTGGAAGAGAAGGTTCGGAGGATACATTAAGAGTTCAGTTTTAGACATGTTCAGTTTGAGAAATCTATTGAATATGTATGTTCAGATGTTTAACTGGTGGTTGATTATGTAAGTCTGGAATTCAGAGGAAAGTTTTAGCTGGAGGGCATCTTGGAAATCTTCAGATTAAATATATGGCATTTAAGGCCTCAGGCTAGATGGTATATCTATGAAGAGGCAGAAGGGGAGGCAGGAGAGGCAGGCACACTCTGTGACTTGGAGAAAAGGTCTGAGGACTGATCGTTGGGTGCTACAATATTTGGAGCTCAGGAAATTGAAGATTCTACCAATGGGCTGAGAAGCAACAGCCAGATTGGTAAAAGGAAAGTGGTGTTTGTTGAAGCCAAGGGGAGATACTGTTGCAAAGAAGAGAGAGTGATCAACTGTGGCAGCTGCTGCTGACAGGTCAGCTAAGAAAGAGACTGAAAATGACCCTTGGATTTAGCAACATGGAGGCCATTGGTTACCAATGAGAGCTGTTGCAGTGGAGAAGTGGGGTAGGAGCCTGACTGGAGCATATTCAAGAACAATTAGGAGCTAGGAGCACAGAAATTAGAGAAAGTTCAAGTAGCTGTTTCATAAAGTCTATTAGTTGTATTCAAGCCAGGGATTATGATCCCCCCGACCTCTGCTAGAGCTATATCCCACTGTTAAAGAAAAAAATCAGTGACACTAGTTAAAGCACAGTAAGGAAGATTTTATTCAATGTGGGGGGTAGTACTACAATAGGCATAGGGACCACTGTGATGGAATTTTGCAGTGGGGAAGAGAGATTGGGCTCAACTCTTGAGTACAGCATGGGCTAGTGAGAATGTATAGCCAAGGATCAGGATGGGAGTCAGTGGATGGAAAATTTCTAAGAGGAAACATGAGGGGTAAGGAGACATTCTGTCTATACTGACCTAAGGGGATCCTTACTGAAGACAGACTAGGTTGGTCAGACATCATCTGGGGGATGGCTGGTGGAGGATGAAGAACCCAATCGAATATAGAGGGTGATTTGATATCAAGCATAGGGGATTCTTGCTAAGCTGGTTTATCAATTCTTGGTGATGGTGGATTTTACACAAATATACACAAATGGGCCTAGGAGGGGGTTTAGGAGACTGATGTTTTGCCAAGCGAAGGCTCTTTGTCACCACTCAGTCTTCCACTCAAAACAGCTTCCACTCAAGATCCTTGAGAGATACAGTGGAAGATACCTAGGCAGATATAAGTTTATGTGTGTGTGTACTTTTTTTTCTGAGACAGAGTCTCACTCTTTGTCACCCATGCTAGAGTGCAGTGGTGTGATCTCGGCTCACTGCAACCTCCACCTCCAGCGTTCTAGTGATTCTCATACTTCAGCCTTCAGAGTTCAGAGTATTGGGGATTATAGGCATGCACCACCCATGCTCTGCTAATTTTTGTATTTTTAGTAGAGTCAGGGGTTTTACCATGTTGGCCACCTTGGTGTTGAACTCCTGGTTTCAGGTGACCAGTCCGCCTTGGCCTCCCAAAGTGCTGGGACTACAGGTGTGCGCCACCTTGCCCGGCTAATTTTTGTATTTTTAGTAGAGATGGGGTTTCACCTTGTTGACCAGGCTGGTCTTGAACACCTGGCTTCAAGTGATCCAGCCGCCTCAGCCTCCCAAGGTTCTGGGATTACAGGCATGAGCCACTGCACTTGGCCCAGTAATTTTAACCGATGGACTGAAGTATGTCTGGGTTCCTCCATTTCTTTTCCTTGAACCTTTCATGCAAAACCCCTTCTAAATAGAAACCCCCCAAGCCTGCCTCTCTCTTTTAGCCTTAGGAGACAGAGAGCTCTGAGCCAGTTGTTCTTCTCGCTCAAAGTTGAACCTTCCTAGTGATGTTGGTTCTATTGTTACTTTCATTTTCAAGCTTGATGAGTACTAGGGTGTTTTTCCTTAGCTTTGAGTAGGGAGGCTATTATCCATATTGCCTCCTCAACTAAAACCTTGGCATGTAGTTCATAACGCTTAGCAATACTGTCATAATTAAAGACACTTTAACCTTCGACTTGCTTCTGTCCTATTCACTTTTTTCATTCCCCAAAGTGACTGCCTGTTTTATGTCTTATCTTAGACTCTGCTTTTTATGAAACCTTCCATGCTCTCATATTTCACTTGTATACTTGTTTCTCTCCCTCCTTCCTGGTACTGTGATAGGGGATTTAGTTTCCCTCTGATGTTAGGGGAGAATATGTAACTGTGTCTTAGTTTTCATTGGGTTGGAAGATCTTGCTGTCTTGGTGATTGTACTTGCTGAAAAGTTCCACTGGATTTTAGTTTGAGAAAATCAACCCAGTGAATTTAATGGTTTTGGGGTGAAAATTAAATTCTAGAAAGATAGCTAAAGGTTTGAAATAAACAGAATGTGGTGTTTTTATCTTTCATTTAATCTTTGTGTGTGTGTGTTTTTTTGTTGTTGTTGTTTGTTTTGTTTTGTTTTGTTTTTTTTTGAGATGGAGTCTCACTGTGACACCCAGGCTGGAGTGCAATGGCCTGATCTTGGCCAACTTCTGCTTCCTGGGTTCAAGCAATTCTCCTGTCTCAGCCTCCTGAGTAGCTGCAACTACAGGCATGTCCCACCAGGCCTGGCTAATTTTTGTATTGTTAGTAGAGATGGGTTTTCACCATGTTGGCCAAGCTGGTCTCAAACTTCTGACCTCAAATGATCTGCCTGCCTCAGCATCCCAAAATGCTGGGATTACAGGTGTGAGCCACCACATCTGGCCATCATTTAATCTTTTTTATGGGCTCCTTATTCTCAGACAAGCTGATATGTAGGTATATACTATGCCCTGCAAATTCTGCTCTTCTGTCTTGTGTTTCTTATTTTACTATATGTCTTCATGGTTTCTCCATTCTGAGAACTCTGAAGCATCTTATGTATTTTGATTTGTGGCAGACTTGTTATATTTTCAACGTGAGATTGTATAGATGTTTTGGTTTTGGTTTTAGTTCAGGGATTATTTCCTTGAGTTTATCTCTAAGGAGTCATGATGGTGGGTGATGAATTTAGTGAGCATGTTTTTCTCTTCAGTAAACTAAATGATACAGTGCTTCATTGGTTGTAATGCAACGTTTTCCTCCAAGGCAATATGTATAATTGATAAGACTGGTAGTAATTTGTGTATGTGTGACTTTTAAGTGTAATACATGTTTTTAAATTTTTTATTGTGAAAAACTTCAGCAAGCCTCCATATACCAATTATCCAGCCTTAACAATTTTGATTCATGGCTATTATCTTGTTTCAGCTGTGCTCCACCTGCTGCTTTGTCTCTCCACCTCATCACCTTCCTTTATCACTGGATTATTTTAAAGCAAATCCCTGGTTATCATGTTACTCACAAATATTTCAATATGTATACCTCAAAGATAAGCACTTAAAAAAATAGAACCACAGTGTCATTAACATAATTTTCATTTTAAAATATGGAAAATAATTCAGTAGCATCAAATTAACAGCCAGCTTTTGTTTCTGCAGTCATCTCAGTTGTTTTCTACAGTTTGCTTAAATCAGGTTTCAGATGAGATATATACATAATATTTAGTTGATGTGTCTTTTAAATCTCTTTTAACCTGTGTTCTCCCTTCACCCCCCAACACCTTTTGTCCATGCAGTTTATTTGTTGAAGAAACAGGATTATTTGTGTTGGGAACACTCTCTCTCTGTTCCTCCCCACTCTACCCAGGAATATGTCATAGGAAGTATTCCATATCTATCAGCAAGCATATAATGTCTGGATTCTCTTTTTGATATAGTGGCAGTTTTTGATATTGTCTACATAGGTTCATTCATTAGGGGTGGCAAGGGTATTTTAAAAATAAATTTGTAATGTAAATGTATAGGATAAATTATATCAGTTCACTTAGCTTTTTTGATGAAGGTTTGTTCTATAAATATTAATACAAAGTATCAAATTCAATGTATTATCCACTAAATATTCATTATTTTGTAGGCAGAGTGTCTTCCAAAGTGTTCTTCACTCTTTTTGCCCTGCTTGGTTTCTTCATTTGTTTCTTTGGACACAGATTCTGGAAAACAGGTATTATGTCCACTGTAGTTGCTGTTTACATCTTCGTTGTCTTTTTTCTTTAATGTTGCCGGGGAATGAGGAGAGTAAGCACTTACTTATTTCTGCTATCTTCATAGATTTGTGGCTGGGGTCTTGTAGTCATGAGCCTACTGAGTTGCACTGCATTTTTTTTTTTTTCTATTCTCCCTAGAGTACAACCTTCTCTTCTTAACAGGGGAATACAATTATGCAATGAATTTTTTCAGCTGCTAGATCTGTTAGTTGACTAATGATAACTGAGATTATAAATTGTTGTCAGGGCTGGACGCAGTGGCTCATACCTGTAATCCCAGCATTTTGGGAAGCTGAGGTGAGGGGACTGTGTGAGACAGGAGTTTAAGTCCAGTCTAGGCAACATAGTGAGACCCCTTTCTCTACCAAAAAATTAAAGAAAAATTGGGGCTGGATACTGTGGCTCACACCTATAATCCCAGCACTTTGGGAGGCTGAAGCAGGTCGATTGCTTGAGCTCAGAAGTTCAAGCCCAGCCTGGGCAACATGGCGAGACTGCCTCTTTCAAAAATACAAAAAAATTAGCCAGGCATGGTGGTGTGTGTCTGTAGTACCAACTACGTGGGGAGGCTGAGGAGGGAGGATTGCTTGAGCCTGGGAGGCAGAGGTTGCAGTGAGCCAAGATTGTGCCACTGCACACTCCAGCCTGGGCAACAGAGTGAGACCCTGTCTCCAAAAAATAAAAATAAAAAAATAAAAAAATAAAAAAAAAGAACTTGGTTGTCTTTGTAAAAATACATGTGGGTTTTTGTGATGGCGACTGACTTGGTTTTGTATAAACCAGTCTGTAGGGCTGCAGTGTACACTGAATTTGAAATGTGTACCTGATTCAGGTTCCAAAGGGAACACCCACATCCACATCAGTGAAACACACTGAAGGACTGGGGTGTAAACCATGCTCATTGAATTGGTTTGAATTATTTGGGCTGCCTTTTATATAAGTGATGTTTTCGATTATTAAAAAATCCTTATTGGCCAGGTATAGTGGCTCATGCTTGTAATCCCAGCCCTTTGGGAAGCCAAAGGCGGGTGGATCACCTGAGGTTGGGAGTTTGAGACCAGCCTGGCCAACATGATGAAACCCCATCTCTACTAAAGAAAATACAAAAAATTAGCTGGGTATAGTGGTGGATGCCTATAATCCCAGCCGCTCGGGAGGCTGAGGCAGGAGAATTGCTTGAACCCAGGAGGTGTAGGTTGCAGTGAGCCAAGATTGCACCATTGCACTCCAGCCTGGGCAATAAGAGCGAAACTCTGTCTCAAAAAAAAACAAAAAAACAAAAAAACTTGTTTAATCAACAAGGTGTATAACTGAGTAGCAAAGGTAGAGTAAATGTAATCTTGATCTAATAAAGCTCTTTAAACTTGTATTAAGTTGTTTGAAATAGCAGCTCCTTTCCCACTATTATGTTACTTTTTTTTTTTTTTAACTGGGAAGAGAATATTGTGAAGAATATATAATACCTCAACAGGTGGGATGATTCTGTAACAAAGAGCGGTAGACTCAAAGTTATCACTGGCTTGTTTTTTTTCTTTCTTTTTTTTTTTTTTTTTTAAGAGATGGAATCTCACTATGTCTCCTAGGCTGGAGTGCAGTGCAGTGGCTGTTCACAGGTATAATCATAGTGCACTACAGCCTCAAATTCCTAGCCTCAACTGATCCTCCCACCTCAGCCTCCCAAGTAGCTGAGACTACAGGCACAAGCCACAATGCCCCACTCTTGAGTTTTTTTGGTATGTTGATATGTATCATTTTGTATTTATTGAAATTGAGATACAGTACAAATATTACCAAAAACAACTGTGAAGAATTTAATAGTTGGAGCTATGGCTTCCATGATCAGGATTAGGCTTATTTGTGGGAACAGAGTTATCTGTATGCTTGCATTACGAGGTGTTTTAATGGATGAAGGTAATGAGTGATCATTCTAAGCAGGATAGGATGAATTTAAAGAAGATATAAAAGTTATACTTGGCTTTGGAACAGTTTGGGTTTCTTTTACATTTTACGTTTTATTTATGCTTACAAAACAATTCAAATTTAGTGTGTAATTTCAGATTAGACACACATGACAAAAGTGCTATTCTTGTTTTAAGCAGAAAACATAAATATATTAAAATGAGCTATGAAATGAACAAATAACAATTTAACAATTGATACTGACCTATATACAAGAAAGTGTATCCTGTAGTTAGTACTTTAATATTGTATCTGTTTAATCATAATTGCTCCCATGACTGCTGAATTTCTTCTGCCCTTTAGACAATTTTTTTTTCTCTGAATGCTGTAATGTGTAAACTCCAGGAGCTTAAGCATGTATTTGTAGATTAGATATTTAAATTGCATTGTAAAAAAGGTGCCTAACCATAGCTTTTGTTGTTTTGCTTTTTTCCTTTCCTGATGGTTTGCCACTTAGAATTATTCTTCATAGGCTTTATCATCATGGGATTCTTCTTTTATATACTGATTACAAGACTTACACCTATCAAGTATGATGGTAAGTGAAAATTACATAGTTTAATACACAGGTATTCAAGAAGGCAGGTGCTGTGTTTTACTGTACCTTTCCTTCTGCAGTTTGGCCTGTGTGTGTAAAATAATGGTCTACCTAGGCTCTGAACACCTTTTCTGAACTACTCATTCAGACCTTCTGGGTTTTTAATCTGTACGGTGAATTCCTTGGTACCTAGGCAAAGGAGGGCCCATATTGATTATAAACCTGTGTTTTGGCTGTGTGATATGTTGAAGATATGAGATGTACAACAAGCAAAATGTTGAAGTTTTCTTTACCTAAAAACAGACACCCCCCACCGCATTACATTTAACAGAATGCTTGTCACCTTTTCTTCCTCAACCCCAATTTATTGACAAGCCAAGCCTGTCACTGGTCCTGTGGGGTTTAGCTCCCTGGCTAGTTTCCTTGTCTCAGCGCAGACCCCTCTCTAGAGAGGGTGACTCTGTTCTGGCTTCATGGCACCACTGAAGAGTCCTCAGTGCCTGACCTAAAGAAAGCTGAAGCTGTCTCTGGTAAAGGTATTGTGTGTCTAGGGCACGCGATTGGAAGTACTACTGGTGATCCAGCAGTTCATCCTCTTTCTTTGTACAGTGCGTCTGATTCTGACAGCTGTCGCCGGAAGTGTCGGTGGAATGTTCTTGGTAGCTGCGTGGTGGCGATGTGGAATCCTCTCGATCTGCATGCTCTGTGTTGGACTAGTGCTGGGGTTCCTCATCTCGTCAGTGACTTTCTTTACTCCACTGGGTAGGCGGCATGTAACTGATGTTTTGTGTGTCTGAGTCACTGTTTGAATACTGCCTAATTGGATTTGCATCCTAGAGTGGTGTTGCATGTCAATGCTTCTCCTGTGGAGTTCTGGAAATCTGCACTGATGGTGTGACACTTCCAGACAGCACGAATACCAGTAAGAGTCCCTCCTTTCTCACAGGCACATTAGGTGAAATATAGAATGTCTTTAGAGTTAGCTTTGTATCTGTTTGTTGTGATAAGAGGTGTGTGTTGATTAGAAATAATGGAGGTATAGGGGCACTGCTCTTATGGCAGCTGAGTTGGGGAACCTGATGATTTGTTTCTGGTCTTCTCTTGTACCCTCAACTTCTACTCCCACCCTCTGCCAAACCCCAGGTGTCCTTGAGGTACCTCATCACCCTGGGACTGTAGCACAGGGATGGTTCTAGGGTTGTTTTTTTTTTTTTTTTTTTTTGGTGTTTTTAAAAAAGTAATTCAATTGCTATCAGTTTTTTACATGTGGTTAACTTACAAGTTAACTTTCTTTGCCATTGTTTAATAAGTTACATTTCCTGATTGTTGTCAAAAACAAAAAGAGTATCTGTATTCAAAAGTATTCTATTTGGCTGTTTCCTTTCTGTGATAATGTTCTTCAAATATTAGAATAAAGTTGATGGGACTGTTAGATACCAAAATACCCATTTCATGAGGCTGTCAACTGTATAAAATGCAGGAGATAATAGAGTACAAGTCATCTCCCTGAAAACTTTTTTTTCTAAGACCACAAAGAATTAACAACCTGTGTTTACTGTCTGTCCAAGGCCCTTTGTTCTGATTTTAGCAAACCTGGAGCCAAGCATATTCCTCCTGGCCCTGCTACAGGTAGCCTTTTATCTGGACAGTCTGATGAAAAACAGTATTGTTTAGGCTTGGCTAAATGACATTCACATGGGGATGTTTTTGAAAATACAGATTCAAGGCTGTATCCTAGAAGTGCTAAATAAACTACTACTTAATGGCTGGGCATGGTGGCTCATGCCTATAATCCCAGCACTTTGGGAGACCAACTGGGAGGATTACTTGAGCTCAGGAGTTTGAGACAGCCTGGGCAACACAGTGATTCCCCATCTCTACTAAAAATAAAAAAATTAGCCAGGTGTGGTAGTGCATGCCTGTGGTCTCAGCTGCTCTGGGAGGCTGAGGCCAGAAGATCACCTGAGCCTGGGAGGTTGAGGCTGAAGCGAGCTATGATGGTGCCACTGCACTCCAGCCTGGGTGACTGAACAAGCGCCTGTCTAAAAAATGAAAAGACCACAAAAACCAAATACCTCTTACTGGGCTTCCCCCCTTTTGTTAATGCTTAGAGCACACAGGAATGATAGGTTAGAATTTCTAGTAATTAATGTGCTTTTCATGAGTAGAATGAGCACAAATTGTAAAGTGTGAAAGAAAATTCTCTATATGCATTCTGGTTCTGTCACTAGTTCCCTTACTAGCTTATAACCTTGGACAAGGTATTGAAACTTTGTTCCACCATCTGTGAAACTATCTCATAGGATAGATGTGAAGTATGAGAAAATAGAAATAAAGAGGTCTCTTAATTTTCATCTTCATAAAAGTAGCCTAGAGCAGGTTGTCTCTAAACTTGTTGACATACGATTCCTATTAGTAAAAATAATTTTAGCATATGCCCTTTATATATGTTTATTTATGAACTATCTCATAGCTCAAGGACAGTTAGGGTGATTATCACAATGCTAGTGGGTCCAAATGTATGTTTTTATTTTTTAGAGACAGGGTCTCTTTCTGTGACCCATGCTGGACTGCAGTGGCACTGTCATAGCTCACTGCAACCTCTAATTCCAAGGTTCAAGCCACTCTCCTACCTCGGCCTCCCAAGTAGCTGGAACTACAGGTGTGTGCTACCATGCCTGCTAATTTTTTTATTTTTAGTAGAGACAGAATCGCTATGTTGCCCTGGGTGGTCTCAAACTGGGCTCAGGCAGTCCTCCCACTTTGGCCTCTAAAGTGTTGGGAATGCCGGGCGCAGTGGCTCAAGCCTGTAATCCCAGCACTTTGGGAGGCCGAGGCGGGTGGATCACGAGGTCGAGAGATCGAGACCATCCTGGTCAACATAGTGAAACCCCGTCTCTACTAAAAATACAAAAAACTAGCTGGGCGTGGTGGCGCGTGCCTGTAATCCCAGCTACTTAGGAGGCTGAGGCAGGAGAATTGCCTGAGCCCAGGAGGCGGAGGTTGCGGTGAGCCGAGATTGCGCCATTGCACTCCAGCCTGGGTAACAAGAGCAAAACTCGGTCTCAAAAAAAAAAAAAAAAAATAAAAAAATAAAGTGTTGGGATTACAGGCTTGAGCCACTGCACCTGGCCTCTCTCTCTCTCTCTCTCTCTCTCTCTCTCTCTCTATATATATATATATATATATATATATATACACATATATATACACACACACACACACATACATATATACACATATTTACACACACACACACACACACACACACACACACATATTATATTCTGAGACGAAGTCTCACTCTGTCTCCCAGTCTGGAGTACAGTGGTGCAATCTTGGTTCACTGCAACCTCCACCTCCGGAATTCAAGTGATTCTCCTGCCTCAGCCTCCTGAGCAGCTAGGATTACAGGCACATACCACCCCGCCTGGCTAACTTTTATATTTTTTAGTAGAGACTGGCTTTCTTCATATTGGTCAGGCTAGTCTCAAACTCCTGACCTCCAATGATCCGCCCACCTTGGCATTCCAAAGGGTGGAGATTACAGGTATGAGCCACTGCACCCAGCCAAGAGGCCTACCCATATTTTTAAGAATTAACATTTGAAAAATATTTGGCTGACCTCTCTGTTCAGATTAGGTTACTAATTTCTACTTTATGTGGGTAGCGACGAGCTTATACTCTCTGAAAGAGTCCATTCTTCACATGCATGCATCATAACTATTTTCAATCCCTCGATTTCTTGAAAGCCTTTTTTTTTTAAATAAAGCCACATATATATTTTGTGAAGGTTAATATAAACTAGAGAATATAATCTGTAAGTTCACCTCAATGGCATGTTGCTCTTGGCTTCAGAGAATATGGAGTTTCAAGGTCCAATCCTGTAGCCTAGAGATTCCCACTCTGTCCTGGAATATGTGGGTCTTATGGACTGAGTGGTGGTGCCAGTGTCAGTATTAAACAGCATTCAGGCTATTCTTGCTTTTTAAACTTAACTTATAAAGAGGAGTTGTCATATATTTGTTCTAGGTCAGCCTAATTTGTGCAGCATTTTGAAGTCCAGCAGCAGAGAAGCGTGTGGGAAGAGCAAATGGTTGGTTGGTTCCTCCTTCCTGATATATGAGAAAATCACATGTCACAGTGTGCAGTGGCATGTAGGACATGCTTTGATGGTACAAATCTGTTAAGTGGATTTGCTGTTTACAGTGAGTTCATGGCTTAACTTCGAGTGCCTTTATTTTTTTTATTTTGCAGTACAAAATCATGAAGCCAGAAATGTAGCACTAAAAGGGGTGATTTAGAGCTTGGAGATAATATAATTCAATCTCATTTTGAGGGTTAGGAAACTGAGGCTCAAGGTCACAGAGCTAGTGAATGGAAGAGCTTGGACTATTCCAATCTCTTCTAAATTATTCTGTTAATAAATGCAGAGCGTTTACCTGCTTGATCCCCCTACCCACCCACTTTCTAGAACATATCCTTCAAAGAAGATTGACAGTTAATTGAAGAAAATCAGAATTCATTTCTAGTTGCCAACATATTTCCTGGTTGTCACTTTAAGCATTTGATGCATATGTGTGTTTGGATGTTCCAAGAAATGAAATGTAACTTGGTAAAGCTGTTGCTTACTCTTAGTTTCTTTTTGCTTTTTCAGGAAACCTAAAGATTTTTCACGACGACGGTGTATTCTGGGTCACTTTCTCTTGCATAGCTATCCTCATTCCAGTAGTTTTCATGGGCTGCCTAAGAATAGTAAGTGTCTCATCAAAAGTTAGATTAATTCATTATGTTATCCTGTGTGTTCAGCTGATCACTTTATTTCATCATTTTGCATGTTTTATTCACTGGGGAGGACTGTGTTATCTGTATCAGATGACTGCTTCTGAATAGCCTTGTTACTGTGAAAGCTAAGGAAGTTCTATTTAGATTATTACATGGTGGTTTTTTTTTCTTCCACCAAATGGAATATGCTTTTAACAGTAGGAGCAGAAAAGGTAGTGCTTACTCTAGTACAGGTGTCCCCAAACTTTTTACACAGGGGGCCAGTTCACTGTCCCTCAAGACCATTGGAGGGCCACCATATACTGTGCTCCTCTCACTGACCACCAGTGAAAGAGGTGCCCCTTCCTGAAGTGCGGGGGGGGGGTAGGGGCGGATAAATGGCCTCAGGGGGCTGCAGTTTGGGGACGCCTGCTCTAGTACACCAACCCAATGGGTCATTAGTTTCAGCTGGCGTCACAAGTGGTTCTTCATGTAGTAAGGTTTATTGTTGAAGTTCCTTCACAGGGAAGATAAATAGTATTTGGACAAGCTGAACTGTGTTTTAAGAACTCATATGGATGCTGAAGATTGTTTTCAGTTTATCTTTCAAGGGAAATTCTGTTCAGCTGTGGTCCCTTTTCATGCGTGAGGGAGCAGAAGTGATTGCCTGTCATTGAAGCCAGTGGAGAGTTAGAAACGACTTTTGTTTTACCAGGGATGATGCCTAAACTCTTCCATTCTTCCACAGCTGAACATACTGACTTGTGGAGTCATTGGCTCCTATTCAGTGGTTTTAGCCGTTGACAGTTACTTGTCCACAAGCCTTTCCTACATCACTTTGAATGTACTCAAGAGAGCACTCAACAAGGATTTCAGCAGAGCTTTCACAAATGTGCCTTTTCAAACTAATGGTAAGGCTCTTAAATCCAAAAACCAGTGTGACAGCACAGTAGGAATCTTGACCCACCTGTGCTAACCAGAACACTTGGGAACTAGATTTAAAGAAAGTCAGCTGGGGCAAAAGAAGGAAACACAGCATACAGTGCTTTGAGAGCCCTCCATTATAACTTAGGATCATGGGAACAAGGCATTTAAAATTTTAAGATGAAGATAAAAATCTACTAGATGAATTTCACTAAGAAATTTCCAAGATTATTTAGATTTACCTGGTCATTCTCAGTGGGGAGAAAAATGCTAACAGTAAATACATTTGACACTTATGGGTGGGGATGGAATGAGGGATGAGAATGACAACCTGATTTAATTTTAAGTTATTCCTTGTTTCCCTCCCTTTTATGAAGCATGCAATTTGCTAGTTGAAAGAGCTTTTGATTAGTAAGCCTGTAGTTTCCCTCATTTGTGATTCTATCCATTCGATTTTCTATAAAATTTTTGAAGAAAAAAAATGACTACCACATGAAATGTTCACAGATTGTAAGATGTGTTGACTTCAGAAATGTTAAAATATGGAGAGTGAAAAAGCATGTCTTAGAATTGAAGATATATGACAATTGTGATTGTTACGATTTTATTTTATGGAAGATCTTTCCCTCTACTATTCAGAGCTTTCCCTTTGGATAAGAGGTTGAAGGTAGAGACCTTGAAATCCTCAAAATCCTTAAAACTCTCCCAACTTCTCAGTACCAGACAGTGTTTTGCCAAGCCTTTTAATAGAAGCTGAGTACGATTGGTTGAATCTTTCCATGCATTCCTGTACCTACTCTGTGAGTGCAATAGGGTCCCATACAGAGTGGAATGGGAAAGAAATGAGCATGGTGGCATCTGATGTTCCATGATGTACATATGTGAAGTATAACTAGATCACTGCCTTCCTCCCTGAACCCCCTCTGAAAAACATACAAACAACTGTGGGTACTTGTTACATAATGTTGTAAGGCCAAGGATCCAAACAACTGATTCTTTTACAATCTGTCTGGACTTTCAAATGCTTGTAATAGAAAATTCCTAGTTTCAAAAATAAGACTGTGGCTTCCCCACTGATTCCTTGGTTTGTAAGTGAGGAACTACATACGTGTTTGGGCTAACTTACCAGAAAGTCTATCAGAAAGGAAGATACAGATTTAGTCCATGAGAGTTGTGTTATTATGTTAGATTTTAAAATACTAGAGTTCAAACTACTTTTCTACTGTTTTTTTTAGACTTTATTATCCTGGCAGTATGGGGCATGCTGGCTGTAAGTGGAATTACATTACAGATTCGAAGAGAGAGAGGACGACCGTTCTTCCCTCCCCATCCATATAAGTTATGGAAGCAAGAGAGAGAGCGCCGAGTGACAAATATTCTGGACCCTAGCTACCACATTCCTCCTTTGAGAGAGAGGCTCTATGGCCGATTAACCCAGATCAAAGAGCTCTTCCAGAAGGAGCAGCCAGCTGGAGAGAGAACGCCCCTGCTTCTATAGATGCCCAGGGGGTTGGTCAGTGTGCCTCAGCTTTGGCGTTCATGCCCGAAGTGCTTCACCAATCTCTGGTGCAAGTCTAATAAAAGATCAGGCATATATATCTGTGCTTTGCATAATATTATGGTGCCCTTATGGATATATGGTAAGGGTATACTAGGGGATTAGGATTATTCTAAGAGAATGAGAAAGATGACCAAAAAGTTATGGTAGGGAAGCTTTTCCTTATTTCCAAATATTTGAGATTACCTTTTGGTTTACAACTTATTCCATTAAATAGATACATTTAAAAAATTAAAAACTGATTCTCCTGCAGAGCCCTGGTGTTTCTTTTTATAACCCCTTAAAACAAGTCTCTCACCTGAATCTAATATTGGGGAGGTAGTTTATTTTAGTGTTGTACTGAGTGTTTATTTGTGACAGTGTTTGGAAATTTAGGGATTTGATACTTGGGCCTTTGAATTTTGGAATACAAAATGAGAAGCAGGCCAGGCATGGTGGCTCATGCCTGTAATCCCAATACTAGGAGGCCAAGGTGGGAGGAGGTGGGAAGATCACTTGAGCCCAGGAGTTTGAGACTAACATGGGCAAGAATGGCAAGACCCCATCTCTACAAAAAGAAATTAAAATATTAGCCAGGCATGGTGGCACATGCCTACTTCCAGCTCCCAAGGAGACTGAGATGGGAGAATCCCTTGAGCCCTGAAGTTTGAGGCTATAGTGAGCCATGATTGTGTCTCTGCACTCCAGCTTGGGTGACAGAGACCCTGTCTCAAAAAAAAAAAAAAAAAAAAAAGCAACTTATTTTCTTACTAAAAGCAGTTTGATTGCTTAGTTGTATGTCCTTCTTAGTATTACACATTATCTAAAAGTTAACCTTTTTTTCAGTATTTGAAAAAATTCTTAAATTGTGATAAAATACACATAAAATTTACCTTATTCATTTTTAAGTGTACGATTCAGTAGGTTCCCTTTGTTTTTCCCTTTTATTGCTTAAAATGGTAATTGAAATATCTAAATTATTTGAAAATAGGCCAATTTATATAGATAATAGAATTTTATAAGGATGATTTATTTATATTCAAAATAATGGCCCCCTTTTTTCTTCAAGGCCTTTTAAAATAGTGTCAACAGGTGATCTTTAATTTAAACCGCATTAGATGGCATATGGATTATGTTTGTTTTTAGGAAATAACCTCACCTTAATCTATATTGCTTGCTGGGCACAGTGGCTCACACCTGTAATCCCAGCACTTTGGGAGTCCAAGGCGGGAAAGTCAGGAGTTTGAGAACAGGCTGGCCAACATAATGAAACCCTGTCTCTACTAAAAATATGAAAATTAGCCAGGTAATGGTGGTGGTTGCCTGTAATCCCAGCTACTCGGGAGGCTGAGGCAGGAGAATCATTTGAACCCAGGAGGTGGAGGTTGCAGTGAGCCAAGATTGCACCACTGTACTCCAGCCTGGGCAACAGAGCGAGACTCCAGCTCAAAAGAAAAAAAAAAAGTCTGCATTGCCATTAAGAAAACTTTCAAAAAATTTGTACTTCTTAGTTCTTTCTGCTCAATTAGCTGTGTTAGCATTAGTGTGAAATACAGTTTTCAGTAATTTCTTTTCTGTATGAAGCCTTTGTACCACCTATGTTTTAAAGTGATGAGGATGGAGTCAAAAAGGATTCCGATGTTTAGTGGAGCTGCTTTTCATTGGAGAGTCCCCTCAGTTTTGACACCCTTGTTTCACCACAAGAAAGCACCTGAACACCCTGGGTTGTGTGCTTACTCAGGGGCTTTTCTCCCAGCTTTCAGAGCACTGAATTATTGTGAACTGGTGACTTTGCAGGCCTGAGTGGAATTAGGGTTGGTGAATGTTGTTGCATACACATTTGTGAGTTAACCACTATTTAAATGATGCTGCTTTTTAAAGTTTTTCAAAGTACAATAGATTTTTGAAGTTTCAGGTAACTGGAAAAATCTTTAACTTTTGCTTTAAGTGTTTGGAGCAGGATAAAACAACATACAAAATATAATACGATTTTTGCTTTGAAAAATTCAGTGCAGGTGACCATTTACTGTTTATTCTGTAATCCTTGCTGTCTATAACTAATTTCAGTAACAGTGAAAATTGATGAAGTTTTTAAAAATGATTTACTGTAGGGACAAAGTTATATGGTATGTTTGTGAGTTATTTTCTATACCATCTGAATGCACTGCCAGTGAAGACTGTAAGGGCAGAAAACACTATTTTGGAGGGAGGATACAGATTGTTTAAAATTTTTCATTAGTTGTGAATGATAAAAAGTCAAGTTTGTATCATTTTTATAATAAATCCCTATTTTGAAAAAAATGCTAAGAAGCCTCATTTTTATAACATTTTTCAGGTTATATTTGTACCATAGCAACAAGACACAAGAGGACAGTTTCACAACTATAAAAAAGTTACTTAATATGGGCAAACAATATAGTTCTTCATTTTTAAAAATCACAAGGATAGCCAGGCACAGTGGCTCACACCTGTAAGCCCAGCACTTTGGGAGGCCGAGGCGGGTGGATCAGCTGAGGTCAGGAGTTCGAGACCAGCCTGGCCAACATGGTGAAACCCGTCTCTACTAAAAATACAAAAATTAGCCAGGCATGATGGTGCATGCCTGTAGTCCCAGCTACTCAGGAGGCTGAGGCAGGAGAATTGCTTGAACCTGGAAGGTGGAGGTTGCAGTCAGCCAAGATCATGCCACTGCACTCCAGCCTGGGAGACAGAGCGAGACCCAGTCTCAAAAAAAAAAATCACAAGGATAATTAACAAGAAATGAAGAAATCTGGGGCAGTCCATTAAAAAAAAGATTAAATTGGTGTTATTAGCACTTCACGTGTATCAAACTAAAGAAAACTAGTAATGTTTTCAGAAAGTTCTGATTAATCTGTTATAGGCTAGCTACCAGACTGCCAACCATACTAGCTATATTAGGCCAGTTGAGTTTTCTGTAGCAGGTGAAATAGAAAACAAACAAAGAAATTGCTAGAATATTAAACCTTCAAAAGACTTTAGAGATCATGTTCACTGACCTCTATTTAATACCTGAGGAAATTCTTAAGAAGTTAATGATATGAAGTCAGAGTTATCAAATAACACAGCTCAGACCAAAACTGGGATGCCCGAGTCCCTATCCAAATGTGCTTTACACTTGTCATGACGAAGATGTAAAGCACCAGGTTATTTTCTATTTTCTTCTGCTGATGAATTGATAGAATGTTTCTAATATAAATATTGCTGATTGTTCTTTTTGAAAATTAATTTTACACAGTGAAAGCATGTTTTTCCAAGTTAACTCTCTGAAGTCATGGACCATTTATTTCAAATCATTGGTACATAAATTTCCAATAACCATTTTTCCACAGCAGCATCAGTTCAAACTTGGTCTGAAGTTCACTCCTAGGTGATGTACTTGTGACATTCATTCAAACCCAGAGTTCTTGGCTCTAATTTCCTGAGAACCGGGCCTCGCCCTGGGGCACAGACCTCATTGCACCCCAGACCTTGTTGGGAGGGCTGCTACCTATGGTTTTCTAATGGACTAAACTGTGCCCCCCAACAAATTTATATGTTGAATTCCTAACACCCAGTACCTCAGAGCATGACCTTATTTGGAGACGGGGTCTTTAAAGAGGTTTCAAATTAAATTGAGATGATTAGGGTGGGCCCTAATCCAGTCTGACTAGTGTATTTGTAAAAAGGGGAGATTAGGACACAGAAACACCAGGTGCATGTACTCACAGAGGAAAGACCAAGCACAGAGCAGCAAGAGGGCAGCCATCTGCAAGTAGACAAAACCATCCCTGCTGGCACCTTGATCATGGAATTCAGCCTCCAGAACTGTGAAAAATGTTATTTCTGTTTAAGCCATTCAGTCCATGGTATTTTGATATGGTAACCCTACCAAAAGAATCCTTTGCAAGCCTTTTTACCCTGATTGTTGATTGAAATGGCTCTTGGCAATTCGGCCATTGTATTTGCAAGGCCCACTCTTGATGAAATTGACACAAAGAGGGGCTTGTTAGTGGGAACTCTGGACTTACCCAGGGACTACCATGTAATCATTACACTGGGGAGGTTGGCAGGTCTGGATCAAGCTTAAGATTAAAAAAAAAACTTAAGGTGGCTCACGCCTGGAATCCCAGCACTTTGGGAGGCCGAGATAGGCAGATCACTTGAGGTCAGGAGTTCAAGACCAGCCTGGCCAACCTGGTGAAACCCCGTCTCTACTAAAAATACCAAAAAAAATTAGCCAGATGTGATGGCGCACGCCTGTAATCGCAGCTACCTGGGAGGCTGAGGTGGCAGAATCACTTGAACATGGGACAACAGAGATTGCAGTGAGCCAAGATTGCACCACTGCACTCCAGCCTGGGCAAGAAAGCTAGACACTGCCTCCAAAAAAAAAAAAAAAAGAAAAAAAGAAAAAAGAAAGAGAAAAAAATTGTAATACAATGATAGGCCTTGACTTAGATCTCACATTCACTCATTCAGTAAATATTTGATGAGTTCCTGTATGCCAGGCATTGCCTTGAGCATTGGGAAGATGGAAAACACAGACATGGTCTTTGTTGTCTGGGACTGGAGTATAATAAGTGAGACACACTAGTTACACAAGATGTATAATATGCAATGAAAATGTGTAACGGGTAGGGTAGAAAGAGGGATGCCAGGGAAGGAGTCCTTGAGGAAGTGACATCCCAGCTGAAACTTGGAGGTTGAGTAGGAGTAGCCAAACCTAAGTATGTTCCATGTAGGTGAGGAATATTAACAGAAGCCCCAAGGCCTACCCTTCTCATTGTGGAGAGCTGTAAAACCAGCACATGCCAATTGTAACCTTGGGTCTGCAACCTAAGATTAACTCTTAAAACCAAGTTCTGTTAAAATCTCACACTGACAATGTCATTAACAAGCTTATCTTCCCAGGTGCAGAATAAGGATGAGACAAGATCAACCACTCTTCTGCCTACCCTAAGATGGATGCATAATTGAGTATTTATTCCCTTTTTTCAAAGTTTACCTTATATTATGTGAAACAGATTTACTGAGCATTAACCAGAGCTTCACAAGAATGTAATCATTTGCCTCACCGCCTACCCCTCTCCCTTTTCCTTCCTTGCTCTCCCCGCCTAAATAATGACCTCTTTGGAAAGCTCAGGTCACAGATGCTCATGATACTTGCATTTTTTTTCCTGTTATATCTTTAAACTTTGGCTCAATAAACCTCTACTGATTTAAGACACTTGTCTTAGTCACTCTTTTTGGTTAACAGGTTTTCTGATTCACAAGA